TCGTAGGATCTTACCCATCACAAGCTAAGTACAAGTCACCATCACAAGCAACGGAGTTCAGTGTTGAGTCGTTATCCCAAATGTCTTCGTTCGTCCTTGGTGTGGAGCTGACTATCACAAGCCAGGTCCACGTTGCTATCCCAAGCAACCAAGTTGAATGCTTCAACGTTATCTCAAACGTCTTCGTTCGTCCTTGGTGTGGAGCTGACTAACATAAACCATGTCCAAGCAGCAGTGCCAGAACGTTATCCCAAACATCGTGACAGGCACAGTCTGCAATGCCGGTGAGAACTCCATACTAATAATCACCTAAGTTGCACCTAAAATAGATCGGTTAGTCGACAATTACCTGATGGTGATGCCCTTTCAGAAAAAGAGGCCTGCAAGCCACTTTCCAATTCTGCTCCGCGACGAAAGGAACCTTGACGGTGATCGTCCTTCGGCGTCCAGCGTCTCGCCAACAATGTACATCTATAGGCCAACCTTCGGTCCAGTTGTCTGATATTTACGTTCAGTGATTCCTGTATGAGAAGTTCCTTTGTCGTTTGGCACGAGGACAAGGAATGAGAGTTTATAGGCGGCCAGAGAGGCGGAAGATAAGAGTGGGGATACTACAAGTGTTCTATTTACGAGTCGAGGACTGAACATAATGAAGTTTATCATAGGGTAGGAACTTGTGTGTTGGGAATAAGTTTCACGTCGGGTTCTGCGAAATAGACTGAGATTAAAACAGTCAATAAGGCTATGCGGGAATACGTTCTAGGGAATGATAGTTCTACAAGTTTTAAACCTATAATATCTCCTAAATTTTATGAGCCATGAGTGTACCCATTTCATCACACCTTTAATTTTTATGTTTGATGTTTTTCTGGATATAAGTATATACAATCAAGTTTACATCTTTTCGTATATAAGAACATGACTCTCACGGGCATAATAACGAGAAGGGAATATTGTCAGGTTGATTGACTTAGTCTCGCACGCATTCGTTTACAAATATACACCCAGTTTCTCAAAAAGGCTTCTTGAATGTGCATCGTAATATAGTTCCATTTTTTAAACAGTTTGACGTCGATGTGCTTCCACTACTCCTCCTCCCTCGAAGTAGGATTAGCTTATTGTATACTGCTCCCCAAATTTGATTGACACTGATGCAGTGATTTGTAACATTAGATACGTGGTTAGAAGAATGCCGACAGTTAGATCCAGACTGACAAAGTGATAGAAATGAATGACATCGTTTCGAATCATTGACACATTTTTGTATAACAAAGAAAAAACGTATTATATGAAGTCTGAATATTTCGTCTTTATACTTCCCATGCATGCATACTAATTGATTATACGCACCGAGTAGTGGAGAGAAACCTGGATGCTACTTGACCGACCTAGTCACAAGTCCTGTCTGTCTGTTGTATGTTCCCTGATCTTTAGCCCCTTTATACATTTGAGAATTGAGGTTTGGAGTTTATAACATATACATAACAAAAATAAAAAAAAAATTAAAATAATTTTATAGATATTTTTCTTTAAAAACGAATAAAATGTTTTTTACCTCGAAACCACGGTGGTCGAAAAATAATCGAAGTAAAAGTTCGCTAGAGTTTCTTTTTTGCTGACTGGTCGGTACAAGTCCATGCAGATATCTTTGCACCACGCGACAGACGGTAAAATCGGAAGGTCAGAAACGAAACGCCGGTCGACAGAGCACGTAAAATTTTTAACCCTCTTTAGTTGTTCGGACCCAGTAAAGTTACAAAAATACAGTCCATTATGTTATTGATCATCCCGACTAATCCCTCACACTGACAATTAAACACAAAAGAACTTTTTATTCGTTTTTTAAATATCTGTTTAATCATTTTATCTTTGTTTTATTTTTATTTTTTTGTGTGTACGTGTATTTGCATGTTGAGAATTGCTATATTGTTAATGAATTTCGGAGATTTGTTTAAATAGCTCATTTTATACAGGGTGTTTCAGTTTATTGTTGCATAACTTTAATTCGATAGAACTTTTAAAATGAATGCATAAAGTCTATATAAACATGGGTCGAAAAATGCGTGGTTTCCGAAATACAGGGTGTTTAAAATTACTTTCTAAAATAGTTTTTTTTTAAATATTTCGAACAATATTTGATGTATAACAGTGAAAATTGGTAAACAAGGGTTTTTTGGTACGACAAAACGAACCATTAGTTGTTCGGACCCAGTAAAGTTACAAAAATACAGTCCATTATGTTATTGATCATCCCGACTAATCCCTCACACTGACAATTAAACACAAAAGAACTTTTTATTCGTTTTTTAAATATCTGTTTAATCATTTTATCTTTGTTTTATTTTTATTTTTTTGTGTGTACGTGTATTTGCATGTTGAGAATTGCTATATTGTTAATGAATTTCGGGGATTTGTTTAAATATCTCATTTTATACAGGGTGTTTCAGTTTATTGTTGCATAACTTTAATTCGATAGAACTTTTAAAATGAATGCATAAAGTCTATATAAACATGGGTCGAAAAATGCGTGGCTTCCGAAATACAGGGTGTTTAAATTTACTTTCTAAAATAGTTTTTTTTTAAATATTTCGAACAATATTTGATGTAAATATAACAGTGAAAATTGGTAAACAAGGGTTTTTTGGTACGACAAAACGAACCATGGGCATAGTTTTACTGTAGCCGCTAGAGGGCGCTCTCTACTGTACCTGTAGTGTATTAAAATGACCGAAAATTTTTTCTTAGTGCAATTTTTTGTTTTTTGAATAAAAAAACTGATTCTTCGCACTTTTCAACATAAAAAAGCTTTTTAAGGTTCGATGCATTTTTAATTATTTATGATAAAATAACGTTAAAAAGTCAGTATCTCGATAAATTGTAGAAGTAGGCTGTGCCTGCAAATATTTTTGAAATTGAAAGCAGAATAAGGTTAAACGTCAATTAGTTGACAGTTAGTTTTGTTGTCTGTTGAAACCTGAAACGTTTTTTTGCAATTGTGAATGCACGAAATTTAGTTTCTTTTACCTGTTTTTCGTAAGTTTTATAAAAATGCCATTTGTATTCTCCAATCAAGAGTTAGCGGATATTCATTTTGTGTATGGCTTTGAAAATGGAAACGCAGCAGAAGCAGCCAGAGAATACGCACGAAGATTTCCAAACAGACGACATCCAACTCGCTCAGTATTTGTAAGAGTGCATCGCCAAATAATTGAAAATGGTTTTGGAAATCTCCAAAGGGATCAAAACATAAATGTTCGTCAGCGCAGATTTACCCGTATGATTCTGCGTGAGTTTGATAGAGATCCGACCACAAGTGTTAGGAGAGTTTCTGGTGCCTTGGAAATTTCAGCAAGCCATGTTCACCATGTTCTTAGAAATGACCATAGACGTCCTTACCATTTGCAACCTGTGCAAGGACTACAGCCAGGGGACGGAGAACGAAGAATCACATTTTGTCAGTGGATTCTTGATAGAACTGATAATAATAGGGAGTTTTTAAGTAACGTTTTATGGACCGATGAGTCATGCTTCACTAGACGTGGAGTGGTAAATTTTCATAATCAACATATTTGGTTGCATGAAAATCCACATGCAGTTCAAGAAAGAAATTTTTCGCATGAATTTAGTGTGAACGTGTGGACGTTCTTGGAATTTTTAAAGGCTGAACATGCAAATATGTGGTATGATGTTATGTTAGATTTAAGAAGATTGGCCTGGTTGCAGCTTGATGGTTGTCCAGCTCATTATTCGAGAATAGTTAGAAACTGGCTGGATGAAAATTATCCAGAAAGATGGATCGGCCGTGGAGGACCAGTCGCCTGGCCTCCACGATCCCCTGACCTAAATACATTAGATTTCTTTGTGTGGAGATTTCTAAAAGAAAAAGTGTACCAGACTCCCGTAACCACAAGAGATATACTAATAGACAGAATCAGGAATGCATGTGATGAAATAAGGCCTTATTTGAATAATGATATAGCACGTTCGATCATTCCTAGATGTGGATTGTGTATTGAACAATTGGGTTTACTTTAGATTTTGTATGTTTGTCCTAACTATAAAATAGCATTTTAGTTGTAAATAATTAATTTAATTTGTTAAAAATAATATTGGAAAATTAAACAAATTTTTTTGTGTTTATTTGGAGTTAGGAATTATTGCTGTGTTTAAAAACACTATCCAAACGATCATCTTAATTACTTGTAATGCCCAAATTGAAAATGTAAAAAATATTATTTTCCCATAAATAATTAAAAATACATCGCACCTTAAAAATCGGAATATCTCAAAAACGGCTAACTATAACAAAAACTCACAGGAGAGCTTTTTTATGTTAAAAAGTGCGAAGAATTTTTTTTATTCAAAAAGCAAAAAATTGCACTAAGAAAAAGATTTCGGTCATTTCAATACACTACAGGTACAGTAGAGAGCGCCCTCTAGAGGCTACATTAAAACTATGCACATGGTTCGTTTTGTCGTATCAAAAAACCCTTGTATACCAATTTTCACTGTTATACATCAAATATTGTTCGAAATATTTAAAAAAAAACTATTTTAGAAAGTAAATTTAAACACCCTGTATTTCGGAAGCCACGCATTTTTCGACCCATGTTTATATAGACTTTATGCATTAATTTTAAAAGTTCTATCGAATCTTAAAGTTATGCAACAATAAACTTAAACACCCTGTATAGTTCGAGATGTAGAGGTTCGTGATATATCGTACTTAAATGAACATACCGCTATAGTTTCGCTTTGAAATTTGTGAATTTGAACGGAGGCGTGGGAAGTATCGAGTAAATCTACTTTACGCCACTTTTTATTCAACTCCTGAGTTGCATTGATGCAGTTTTAATTATCAGTTCAGAGTTACAAGCTACGTATCTCGAGAGTTATCTTCATGTGTACTGAGAGTGAAGAATTTTGCCGCTAGTACGGCTCAAATAGGACTGGGGACGTAAATCAATATAAATAACATGTTGCCTATATTTTTTTTTCAGAATGATGGTGAGGCCAAGTAGCGAGGGCATAGATTCAACCATGGCTGTGGATGCCTCGTAGCGAGTTGTTTTGACAACACCTTTGATGCACGATCGCGTATAATGAACGTATTTTAGGGATTTATTAAGTATTTACTTAGAAGCAACTCCAGTTAATGCTCTTGTTTGATAGTAGATATAGTAGTAGACAGAGTGTCAATAATCTAAATTCTACGGTTGGTGTCGATTGAATATCGATAAATGCATTAAGTTTTCACGTTCTGTTAAAAGCATCAAATAGTAGTTCACCCCTATAACATCGGGGGCAATGTAATCAGTCGGCACGAAACGGTTTGTGATTTAGGGGTGACATTTGCCAATAGGATGCATTTTGATTATCATATTACTCAAATTATGAATAGTGATAACAGAGCCTGAGGTTTTATTATTAGGAACTGTGAGCTAATAAAAAACTGCAGTAAGAACATTATACTTGTATTTCATTATTCATTTTGTTGCAAAAACTATTTCAATCCATGTAAAATAAGCCCTGAAAATTTAAGCTCGCCACGATAAGTGTATCATGTCACATTCGTTGTTGTGATGCGATAAACGTAAGAAACGCAATAGAATCCTTACCACGTACAAGTACAGAACCTATTGTTTTTAGCCGCTGTAAATAGCGATTTACCGACAAATGTGGCAGATAATTTAATTTAATTAACTTTTGAAGAACATGTTCCAAATGGCCTCCATTATTTTTTATGCACAAGCGACACCTTCTAATAAAATTGTCTTTGCAATGAGTTTGCGTTTTCCGTAGCTTTTATTTTTGCTTCATCAATTTTCTGGTGAAGTTGGTCGACATTTGTATATTTAATGTATAGTTTATTCCCCTATAAAACCCCGTATAAGAAAATCTAGAGGATTTAAATCGGGTGACCTTGAAGGCCATCGTATTTGTCCACCTCCACCTATCCAACGCCCAGGAAAGGCATTGTTTAAGTAATGTCGCACCTCTCGTGCAAAGTAGCATGGGGCATCATCGCATTGAAAATACATGCGGCTTCAAACGTCCAAAGGTACATTCTCTACCAGCTCATGCAAACTGCTTTGAAGAAAAGCAAGTTATGACTGACCATTCAACCTGGCGGGCTATTCATATGGTCCAATTAATTTTTTGTTGAGTACTCCAGCCCATAAATTAACGCCGCCCTGACGTTGAAAGCTGTATCGGCGAATAGCGTGTGTATTCTCCACGCTCCATGAATCGAAATTGTGCATGTTGAATATTACATTTCGGTTAACGTTGGATTCATCTGTTCATAAGATGGTGTCGAAAAAAGTTTCATCCTTTTTGCACCTTCTCAACATATTCTCACAAAATTCAACCCGTTGGGCATAGTCGCTTGGAACCAATTCTTGTACTTTTTGTACATGATGAGCTTGCATGTTCTTCGAGCGTAGTACCCTGGGGAATACCCGCGTTGACTTTACGGGATGACGAGGAGAACCCGTCAATTACGGCGGATACCTTGCGGCCAGAGAGAAGGTCAGCCGCACATCTGCAAAGCTTCTCTGGTAGGGCATCAGATCGAAGTTTGCCACAGGTGATCAAATGCTTTAGTGATATCAAGAGTAACGTTTTATGTGCCCCGCCATAAGACTGGATAAGTTTACTTCATAGTTGCGTGATGTAAGCTAGGGGGTCTACTGTGGATTGCTGGTGCTAAAAACAATACTGTCTGTCGCTAATCAAGCCCTGATGTTCGAGGTGCTCCAGAAGCTCGCGATTTATGCACCTCTCTAACACCTCACTTATAACAGAATGGATTATATAAATATGATTATGACTTAAAGAAGTCCAGGTGAGTTTTGCAATTCCTAGGTTTGTACGAAGTTCTATTTAATGTCATTCGATTTTTAGGATGATGGCAAGACCATGGAAAGATGGCAATACATACCGATTAGGTGGTGGGTAGAGACATCCCCAAAGAGCATTACATCCTTCATCAACAATAAATTTTAGGAGCTGCATATCAGCATAATATTAAGATATTCTATCTAACTATAAGGGATATGTTTTGTAACTCGTTGGACTGGCAACCTTGCTTTAAAAATTCGATTACAAAGTTATTCAAACAAATTATCTCGACTCCAAGACCTTAACGTTTGTTGGCGCAAAAAATACCTGATAAATTTATTTACTGTTATTAAAGGTGCATAAATCCCGAACGTGGCCGCAGCTGTTAATAACGTTTAATAGATAAGCCGTCAAAACCGAAACGAGCCAGATACCAGTCCGATAACTCTGCCAGCTCCGACGTTGCTCGCCTCTTAGCTACGCTGTCTGTGATCCTATCGTGCTCACGATCCTCAAACTTCTCTCGCTGTAAACCTATATTTACCGAGACTTTGGTGTGAAACGCAAAAACCCAGCCTGGTTCTCCTTAATCATTTTCACTTATCGAGTGTTTAATATTTAATAACTAGCGTATCATTAAAAACTTATTGGCTTTTAATTGGGAGGTTGGTGACTGCAATTTTGGAAAGATTAATATGATGTTGAGGAAACTCCTGGTGTGCCACTTACATATTACTATTTTCACTAAATTTTCAATTTTCGGAGTGCTCCATAGTCATATGGCACAATGCTTTAGGAAAACTCTTTAAGGATGATTACAAATTCTAGTAATGGATCAACGTACAGAAATCACTTTAAAAATTTAAAAATGTTAATATTTCCATCAATTTATATTTTTGTAGTCCCATGTTATGGGCACATAAATCTAAACAAACCTCTGCAGAAATAGTTCACTACGTAATGTTATTTTTTTAAAGAATTCATACTAGCGACTGAATATGACTCAAAGTAATGGACCAAGCGTTAATATCTATAATTTATTTGAATAAAGAACGGAGTTTTGAAGATACATCTAATCGCCAATTCTCAAAATTTGCTAAAGATATCTACATTGCTTAACCACTGTTTCTATTCATTTGATGAGTACGTTGATGCTAAGACGTCACTCGCATAGTTAATAAATGTACATGTACTTTGTATATACATAATGTGGTCAATAAGTGGTATAGTATGGTAATAAGTAGTTGTTAAATGTTGAACTGGTGGAGTCATTTCAAAATTCCCAGAGGAATTTTCCCAAATGATCCATAATTCAAGGAAATATATGGTGTCCTAACTTTTAAAAGGGCAATGGGCATATCTGCATTAATTACACACATATTAATTTATTAAATTTTAGCTTTGAATTACCCCTATCGTAAAGCTCAAACATAATTACAGACAGCAGCGGTGGCGTAGTGTCAGACGTAGTTGTTACTGTGCGCTGCGCTGGTTCGAATCCCGTCCCAGGAGAAATTTTTCTCTTGGCTGTGGATGTTGTGATGGTCCGTAGGTATTAGATAGTCTCCGATTACACTGATAAACACAGGATTTATGACATGACAATTTTTGGGTGTATATTATGTATTTCGAGACCCTTGAATCATTAAAAACAGAATTTTTCTATTACCCACAGATACTCGGTAACATCTACTTTTATGAATTACAATACGTAACATCTCATATTGCTGCATTTCTCGGCGTTTATGCGATGACGCACATATATAATGTTAAGACCTGTCTATTCCTGTTTATAATATGCGAGTTCTATATATTGCGTTTATTAGTAGACTAATAGCAACCGAGTCACTTACATTTCCTGTCTTGAGGATTACTGAGATATTCTGAGTACTGTTAATTTTTGCTAAAACGGTGAGTTGTTTTTAGTTTATTGTGAGGGAGACTAGCTTTATGGACAATGCCTAGAAATTGTGTAAATAGTGCGAACAGTTCTTGTTATGTGTGCGGAGAGCTAACTTTAAGATCCCAAAAACGTACTTTTACTCCCCTTGTGCTGAAAGCATACGAACTTTATTTTGGAATTAAAGTTGGCAATCAAGATGAACTATGGGACCCTCATATATGTTGTAACGTTGTTAACAGGTTGATTAAGAGGCGACAATCGTAAAATGCCCTTTGCGGTACCAATGGTTTGGAGAGAACCGAGAGAAAATACTACTGATTGCTATTTTTGCTTCACAAATATTAAAGGTATTGGACCAAAATCGAAACATACTGTTAAGTATTTTAATTTAACATCAGTTTTGCGATCCGTTAAGCATAGTGATGAACTTTCTGTCCCAGTTCCACCAGAATCTTGGTCTTTGGATGAATAAGTCGAATCCACCGATTCTGAAATTGATGGTACAGACAGAGTAAAAGTTTCCGATCCGTCGTTTGACCTGCCAGGATGTTCAACAGCGCCACATTTGATCACACAGGGCGAACTTAATGGCCTGTTCGAGAACTAAACCTGTCAAAATCCCAGTCAGTGATGTCAACATTAATTTTTAGCCTCACACATTGTTTCCGTCAAAAAGGGAAGTTGATATATTGCTCCGATGTCAACAATTTGTTTGACGCGTCAGGACAGAAACATGATCCAAATGATTGACGCCTGTTTATTGATTCCCCTAAGCTTAGTTTAAAAGTGGTATTGGTACACAACGGTAATAAATATCCAGTTGTACCTATAGCGCACGCAGTTCATATGAAGGAATCATATGAAAATATGCGAGTTCTGTTAGAGCATATCCGTTATAATGAATAGGAATGGGCCATATGTGCAGATTTATAGGTAATAGCCGTTCTTCTTGGAATGCAACTGGAATATACCAAATATTGTTGTTTTCTTTGTGAATGGGACAGTCGTGCGCGAGATCGTCATTATGAACAGAAGGAGTGGCCACTACGTCAGGTATTAACCCCGGGCCTCAAAAACATTGCTCATGAACCACTAGTTGATCCCAAAAACGTGTTGCTTCCACCTTTGCATATTAAGTTGGGACTGATGAAACATTTTGTGAAAGCTATGGATCGAAATGGAAGAGGGTTGCTGCATTTAAAACAAACGTTTCCGAGACTTAGTGATGCAAAAATTAAAGAGAGCATAGTTGTGGGTCCACAAATACAGAAAATCACGAAGGATGATGTATTTGACGGTGCTCTAAATGAAACTGAATTACGAGCTTGGAAAGCTTTCAAATCAGTTACTGCAATTTTTTTAGGCAATGTGAAGGCGGACAATTATAAAGATATTGTGAGTGAACTAATTAATGCTTATAAAGGAATGGGGTGTAACATGTATGTAAAAATTTATTTTTGGATTCTCATCTTGATTTTTTTCCGGAAAATTTAGGTGCGGTAAGTGATGAACATGGTGAACGGTTCCACCAAGACATTTCTGCTATGGAGAAAACGGTATCAAGTCAAATGGAGTGTCAATTTGCTTGCTGATTATTGCTGGACATTGTTAAGAGTCACTTCAGGAGCAACAAACATATCGCCGTAAAACATCGACAACAACATTCTGAGATTAATGTTTATTCGAGCGTTTATTAGTATTCTTACACACACATCCTTATATTTTACAAGTACAAGCAGCATATAAAATGCCCTATTGCAAGAGAACCGTGAGTGGTAGAAAAAATCGAATGTTATTTCCGGCTGTTTGGGTACGTTTTACATAACAACCACCTTGTTTTTTCTATGTCACAAAAAATTATTTCAATTTTGTTCACCAGTGTTATCGAACGTGGAGTTACCACATGTGGCACACTTGCTCCCTCGCTGAAAGAGTCC